CAGCTGGACATCAGTGAAGGTGACCTAAATTTAAGATAAAACAAATAAATTAATTAAGTACTAGATTTCATACTCAAATCTGTCACAGTATTTGCTATTACTGCTGTAGTTGTAGCTTGCTATATACTGAGCTTTGGGTCACGGGAGGACGCTAGTATATGTCCTCCCGTGACCCTTAAGAGAACCATGAGATAAAAAGGTTACCCCATAGTTCTCTTTTAAAGTCTAACAAAGTTCAAGAACTTACACTAGTTTCATTTAAAAATACAATAAATCTATTTATGTAAAATACCTGCATCCATTGGTGTTGTGTTTTTTTTGTTTCTTTAATTTTCATGTGCCTAGTGTTTGTGCTTTAAAACTGCATTCAAGTACCCTAATTACAATACTGGACCTTATTTGTGTATCACTCGGCTGTAGATCCTCAAATCATCTCTGAATTGGTGCTGACACTGTCCTTCTGGAGGTTGCTACTTGTGTTCCCCATGGTCCCTGTGATGGACTACAATCTTGATACAAATTAGTAAACTAAACGTGAGTGGTGGCTACTTTACAACACACACACGGGGACCATGGGGAATAAAAGTAGCCACCCTCCAGAAGGAAGGACAGTGTCGGCATGAATTCAGAGATGATTTGAGGGTCTACAGCTGAATGATACACAAATAAGATACATTTTTGTTAATATTTTTTGAAGGTACTTGAATGTATTTTTAATATTTAACTCCTGAGTTTAGTGTCACATTAACATCTCTCCCTTCAGCAGGCTCATTAGTACATTTTTAGTAGGAAGTTAGGGGATTCTGTATAAAACAAAGATCGATGCAGTATATGCCAGCTGTGTTCAGTTATATTTTCAAAGTTAATAATTCTGATTTAATAAAATGTTAAATTAAAGCAGCCTGTTCCTGCAATGCCCAAAGATAAGACTGGCGCAATAGCTAAGTCAACCACTAAACTGTGAACTCTGTTTCCTTCTGTAGATTACAACGGTTGGTAATAGATAAGTAGGGAAGGAAAGTCTGCTATTGTATGACTACACTTTTTTTTTTTTTTGTCATTTTAATGTGGCAGTTCACAAGTCTTATAACCACAGTTTGACTTCACACAAGTTACAGATTTGTTATTCAGGCCTTGAGACATGACATTTAATAATGCAGCTGAATGAAATGAATAAAGTAACACAATATTAAAGGCAATGAAACAAAAATCAAATCTGCATTTAGTAATTGTATCCATACAGCTGCTACACTTGATGATATACAGTCAAAACAGACACAATTTACAAAGCTATGTTAAACTTTTAAAAGAAACAGTTTAAAAATATTCTCAAAATGCAAACTGGCCAATAAATGTTTAGGGCCTGTTCACACGACGTCCGTTTTGTGTGCTGACCGGCTCCGTACGCTGCTGCACTCAAAATGCATCCCAATGTATCCCTATGTGTTTTATGGCCTCCAGTTCTCACGTGCGCAGTCATTCAGCTTACGACAGGAAAAATACTGCATGTCACATTTTGTCAGGTCAGGAAACGCAAATGCATCAAAAACGCACTGCACTGCAGCTAACATAATAACAGCCCCACTCCAGCAAAAAAAAAAAAATGGTTTCACTTCTCTTTGCTGCTCTTCCTTTTAAATCCTCATGTCTTCTCATGCTTGGGAAGAACTTCCCTTTTCAGCTGACTGCCTCTTCCTGTAGTGCTGGCTCAGGTTGTGAACCTATACACAGACACTGTGTATCCATTCCTGAGACAAGGCAGTCTGCTGCACAACAGAAGTTCTGCCCAGCATGAGAACAGATACAGATTTAAAAGGAAGAGCAGCAAAGAGAAAGGAAACAACCATGGATTACAGTAAGGCGCACATTACAGTATTGTTTTATGTTAAAAAGTCTGAGGGTTTAATGTCACTTTAAGGTTGAAGTGGTAACAACCAGGAATTTTGTTTATAGACTGTTCTTTTCTGTGAAAATCCTGAATAGTAAGATCACTGACAAAATGACAAGTGGTGTGTTTGCCTCGTTTCAGGTGAATGTCCAGTATGTAAATGATGTGGCAAACAGTATAAAAGACAAGTAAGTGCTTAATTTTGGCTAGAATTGCATTTTTCTTTGGAGGAAAAAAAAAATAGAGCCGCTACTAGTAATGATCACCGATAAGCTTACTTCTGCAGTGGTCACATGGGATTTTTCCGGGGTCTTTATAAAAATGATTCTTTTTTTTAATTTAATAGAATTGATTTAAATAAAAAAAAAAAAAAGTTGATGGCACCATGATGTAAAGATGCTCCTGCCTCTGTTGCACGACTGCATTGTTTGCATATACAGTAGCAAGAAAAAGTGTGTGGAATTAGCTGGTTTTTTGCAATAAAATGTAATCCAAGTCATAACAATAGAGCTGCTGACACACAAACAGTTATCATTTCTTGTGTCTTTATTGAACACACCAATTCAACATTCACAGTGCTGAAGGAAAAAGTAAGTGAACCCAAAGACTGCTTCAACGAAAGCTAATTGGAGTCAGTAGCTTGCACACCTGGAGTCCAATTAATGAAATTAGTTTGGAGGTGTGGTTTAGAGCTGCTTTGATAAAAGGCACTCAAACATTTTAAGATTGTTGTTCGTAAGAAGCATGAACTGATGAGAACCGTGTCTCGCAAAAAGACGCTCTCTGAAGACATGTAATCAAGAGTAGTTGATCTGCATAAAACTGGAAAGGGATGCAAAGCAATCTCAAAGTGTTTAGGCATCCATCAGGTGACAGACACATTTTTCTTTAAATGGAGACACCAAATGGAGGGCACCCAGCCAAGATGACTCCCAAGGCATCCCTGGAAATGGCAAAAATCCCTGTTCATGAGTCTACCATACGTACGTATTTGAACAGGGAGGGTGTCCATGGCTTAAGCATGTGACCTCCTACCATCATGCAGTGCTTGAGCTTGGCATCCAGTCGCTAGGCCTGAGCACTGCCACATGACAGGGATAACAACTCTGCTACCTCTGACGCAGATGACATGGGGTATTTTGGTGGCGGCCGCAGCGAAGCAATGAACAATTGGACATGCCCAAATCGCACCTAGCAGTGGGAGTGGCTTTGATTGGGGGGAAATTATTATTTCACTAAGACCTGAGAATATGTTGAAGGTTAGAACAGCTGTGTTAAGGAACTGATACATGTATCCTACAGAGACGGAACACAAAACATCATGACGGCATCTGTCCTTGTTTATTTATATCTGTGTACAAAGCCACATCCTGGATGGATGATGGCACATAAGTTTTCATTGTTACAAGTAACAGCTGATGGCTTAGGGGGCCAGGATTATTACTAGAGCTGTTATGTTTAAAGCCAAAAAAATTATATCCACAAAGTTCTGGCATACACCATATTTGTTTACCCATTCAAATGTTCAGTTGTGTGTGTCTACGTCTGCTCATCCTGGGAACATCAAATATTAATTTAATGTCTTTGCGTTGCAGCTTTCCTCGTGAAATCCAGTCTGGTGTCCTTGAGATTGTTTCTCCTCCAGCAGCCTATTATCCAGAGTTCTCTAATATAAAGGAAACATTTGGAGACTCAAAAGAGAGAGTGAGGTACTGAACAACAGTGGATTCTACATGTGCTAATATATAATATATATAAATTAGTTTTGATCCAAAGAGGGTAGTTCTGACCTGCACAGAGAAAAGGCTTATTGTTAAGGCTAGAGGCCTACTGTTAGAGGCCTACTGTTAGAGGCCTACTGTTAGAGGCCTACTGTTAGAGGTTCAACGGTAAATGTGCATATAGACCACAGACTGGCTCAGTGCCGTTTTGTCTGACCCTCCATCCCTTGTTCTCTGTGGAAATCCAAACTTCTGTCTCCCCCTATGTAAAGGCATAGTGCACTGTAGGATCACAGGTAAAAAGTGTTAGCCTTTGCTAGAGTTAAGTTTATCAATATTTATGTTGTAATTCAGCTTGAGAATTTATATAAACAAACCTATAGGTTAAAGATAAGAAAAACTGCCGGCTGACGTAGCTTTTCATTTTTAGATGGCGAACTAAGCAGAACTTGGACTATAGCTTCCTGATGCTGTATGCACAGCCAAAGGGCACATATTACTTGCAGGTATGGATTTTTGGAGTTTTTCTTTGTGGTTGTATACATTTTTTTTCCCACCCGAGAGTTTGACTACTTTGTAGAATGAGGTTTCATCAGTGAAAGCATACCTTCTAAACAGTAGTTTTCTGTGAGGTCAAGATACAGTACATTAAAAAAGTAGTAAGAATGTAAGCATTTGTAAATCTAATCACTACATTTTCATTAGTTTTAAATCTGTAGCTTTTATTAATATAATACCTGGGGATCTTGCCATGAAGGTCTGTGTGGCACTTCTGTTTAAGCATGACAACACTCTTCCCTTGTGTCCGAATAGTTTTTCTGCAATGTTACCCTTCTAAAGGTGAAAGTATGACTACTAGATTGTAAGCTCTCATGTGCAGGGCCCTCCTAACCCTATTGTACTGAAACTGTTTTGTATTGTAAAATGTTTTGTAACTGTACTGTCTCCTCCATTTTGTAAAGCGTTGCGCAAATTGTTGGCGCTATATAAAACCTGTATTATAATAATAATATGACTAAACTATTTCATTACAGTGCGTTTAGCAAAGTACATGTCATTCAGTCTGGGTTCACATCTACTTTAACAATAAGACCCCTTAAACACCTCTTTCCATCTCGGCAGGGAATCCTAGACTGATCCCCTGTTGAGTCATTTGTTTCCGATGCAATTTTTTTCCTCCATGTACAATTTTTCTAGACGCATGTAATCCCCTATGGGTGGATGGATGTTAGCGAACGTGCAGCCTGGACAGAACACTAGGCAAGTCGAAGATGTATTAAACAGTTAATCCTTTGTCCACATCTACATGCTTTTTATAGCATGTGTACCTAATAAAGTGGCCATTAGTGTATACCGTATATACTCGAGTATAAGCCGTCCCGAATATAAGCCGAGGTACCTAATTTAAAAAAAAAAAAAATGGAAGATCTCGGGTGCTGGCAGTCTGTGATCTCACTACTGTGGCCTGCCCAGGGGCTGGGAGTGTTTTCAGCTTGTGTGGCTATGCTGTTTAAGGCTGCAAGTGTGCCAGACAGCCAGGTAACAAAGCACCTTCTATAGAAGGTCAGAAATGGTAATCCCTGGAATTCTCACATAACAGGTTTTACTTTACACATTATAGATTTTTTTTCCTACTAAACTATGTATTGATATAGGGAGCTGACACCTATTCTTCATGTTCCATTTTACACATTTGTATGCATTTCTTTTGTCTTCAATTCACATATAAATAAGTCTTTGGTCATTGTTTGAAATAGAAACTGTCGGTTTCACACCTAGCTGCCAAATCGGGCTGGAAAGTAAAAGGGGGAAATAAATGAGTTGCTGTTGTGCATTTAAAAGAGCCCGCAGCACAGGACAGGCCTATTTGGTTAACTTGCCAGCCTTGTTTCAATTCCTAATGCTCATTTATGTTTTCAGAGATCTCCCATAGAACCAAAGACCTCTCCCACCCAGAAATATAGGTTTAATTGCATTACTCCATGTTATGGGAAAAGTGAACACAGAGGGCTCCTTTTTGTTCAGCTCCTCAAGTCTCACTTACAGACACGGAGGACAACTACTCAAGGAAGCCACACCGGAGGTTGTTCCACACACAACACTGAACTCCGGCTCTCAGACTGGTATGAGACCTCATTTCAAGTCACAATCAGCCCCATGATCAACATCTTACAAGACCAGTTGTTTCTTGGTGAAGTTGTCCTTTTATTC